GGAAGTATAGTTTACACGCATCACCGATAAAGTTGGATAGCGTGAAAAGTCGTCCACGGTAGCTAACAAGTTTCGATCGCAGAGCTTTCCATGATGCCTCGTTCACTCAAGCTCCCCACCCAGTCGAGAGCACACGCGTCGGTCGACTAAGTCCATACGTGGACAGGCAATCCCTCCTTATCAAGAGCACGGTTGGCAACAAGATCAGCCTGTACCATACTATGTTGGATGTGCTCATGTACAGTGGCAAGTTGGGAAATTGCAGGAATGACCTTGCTCAGTGGACTGTTGAATCGTTCTTTTGGACGATCAAGGAGAAGTTATATCTGTGGAGAGATGGAGGCCAAAGTGCCTCTAATCGGAAGCAGTACCTATCTCACGTCCTATACTAGAAGCAATTTAAGATAGGGAGGAGGGAGGAGGGAGGAGGGAGGAGGGAGGAGGGAGGAGGGAGGAGGGAGGAGGGAGGAGGGAGGAGGGAGGAGAGGAAGCTAGGTAATGGCGCAGAGAAGGAGGAGGTCGGAACAGGAGGTGATGTTGTTGGCAGGTGATGAGATAGCGGGATGCAGGCAGACGGTCAGACTTTCACTTCTCTCATGGACGTCTACTCGCCCCTCCTCTTTCCCCAGCAGCAGCGTTACTTGGACGTCAACCCTCCGCTTGCTCGAGACAGCTGGAGTGGTCCTGCCAGCTTCCTGCCTGAGATCGAAGCTCTTGCGGGCGCCGGCAAGGAAGACGTGCAGGACTGGGAAGAAGAGCAGGGCCTGCGGAGAAGGGTGGCAAGCTTGGTGCTGGGACATCAGTCGAGAATATTCAGCGAAAAGTGAGGAGGAGGAGGAGGGAGAGGAAGAGGAGAAGAGGAGGTAGAGTCTGGCCGGCCGACAGACCTGACATGAGTCACAGGCTCGCCTTCACTCACGAGACGATCCTCCTTGTCTACGAGACTGTCGACCTCTTGTGGCCTCTGCTGCGCAAGAACCGGAAGCTGTACCTCGAGGCCGCTCGGCATGTTGCCATCCTGCAGGTGAGGGATGGAGAGAAGGAGGACGGAGAGGACGAAGGAGAGGAGGAGGAGGAAGGGGTGACTTTGAGCAGCAAGCACTGGACGAGTCATCGAGCGAGATTATGAGGCTGCAGGAGGAGAGCGACATCCTGTCTATCCATGCCACTTCTGCGGTTCTCCTCCGCTTCTTCACTTTCAGTGCTCACTGATCCTGTCAGAATGCGCTCGCAACGTTGGTGGGGAAGAAGTTCACAGATTGGGATGCGAGCAGGCATGAAGAAGAACATACGACAGTGATGCCCTCGTTGTCTTCGCCTGTCGCTTGACAAACTACAGGAGAAGCTCACGCGAAGTTTGGAGGAGATGGAAGAGCGAAGCGTCTGGTTGCAGGAGGCTCTCGTTCAGGTCTGCTTCTTCCTCCTCCTCTCCTGTGACTGTCATTGCAGATCTCGCGGAGGATCAGAGCTCGCGATGCAGGAGACGATCTGCTCATGTCTCAGGCAAGTAGAAGGGCAGAACGTCTCTGGCGCTAATGCTGCTGCAGGCGCTGAAGGCGAACGAGGACCGCAAGCGGATGGAGGAGGAGGTGACTGACAGGCTGATTCTCCTCTGCTTGTCTCACGTGCGAACAGGTTCAGAAGCTGCGGGAGGAGGTGAGGAGGCGAAGGCAGGAGGAGCTGCGCCAAGAGGGCAGGGCAGGAGGGTTGAAGGAGCAGATCGCAATCCTGGAGGATAAATTGCTTGACCGGCTGAAGGCGCTGGAGGAGGAGGAGAAGAAGCGGAAAGAGAGCGACTTCTTGAAGCAACAGTACATGGACCGGAGAAGGTGAGACGGTGCTGGGCAGGATGGATTCGCTGATGGGCCTCAGGGAGCTGGAAGCGCGACTAGAGTCAGTCTCAGCGTCTACCCTCCTCTCGGCCAGGCGCGCTGGTCGGCTGGAAGAGCAGGCAACGAGACTTGAGGGAGAGCTCGAGAGAAGCAGAAGAGACGTGGAAGAGGCGATGGAGGCGAGCAGACTGTGCCTGACCGAGATGCGGCGAGAGAGGGAGGAGAAGGAGCTCTTGACTTCGACTGTTATCGAACTCGAGGAGAAGCTGAGGGAGGAGGAGGAGAAGAGAGAGGCCCTCGAGGCGCAGCGGCAGGGTCACGTGCTGGCTGTAGCAGAAGAGCGTCTGAGAGGACAGACAATGAGAGCAGAGCTCGAAGAGGCGAGGAAGGAGACTGCTGAGTCGCTTGTTCGCTTCCTCTCCCTCGATAAGGAGAAGATGCAGGCAGAGCTCGCGCTCAAGATTGAACGGGAGGAGAATGTGAGGCTGAGAGAGCTGAACGACAGCTGGGAGAGGCTTGTCAAGGAGTTGCGAGACGAAGCTGGGGAGTACCATCGATTGCGTGACAGCCTGAAGCATGAGGAGGAGAAGAAGATGCAGGAGAGTGCGAGGACGCGGCTCTTTTTGTCAGGATGGAGACAGCTGGGAGAGGAGGTGGCTGCGTGCTCGCTCCTCCTCCTCCACGAGATTCAGCGCCTGCAGTGCGACTCGACTGAACGCGAGCAGTCAGAGCGAGAGCAAGAGGAGGAGAGACGCGCGTGGAGGCGAGAGAGAGAGGAGCTGAAGATCGCAGTCGACTATGCGGACGCCACGGTGAACAACCTGAACAAGAAGCTGAAGGAGTTGCAGGGCATGAGCGAGCAGCTCCAGCGGGAAAAGGAGCAGGTGCGACGCTAATGCTCCTCGCTCGTGTGACCCCTTGCAGGTTGAGCAACAGCTGAGCAGAATGGATGAGACGCTGTCGCGTGAGATGGCGAGAGTGACGGCGATGGGAGTAGAACTGGAGAAAAAGAATGCGAGCCTTGCGATGGCAGCGAGCAAACAGGAGAGCTTGGAAGCGGTCTTGTCGGAAGAGAGGATGCGGTGAGCAAACAGGGCCCATAACGAAGCTGGGGAGGGAAGGAGGGGAGGGAGGGAGGAGAGCACTGAAGCGGAAGCAGGACGGAGAAAGTGATGCAACTTCACGACACTTTCACTGAGAGCCTAGCTGGGAGCCTGCAAGACCTTGAGCGCATGAGGAAGAAGCTGCGGGAGGAGGAGGAGATGGTGGAGAAACTTCGAGCTGAGAATGAAAAGCTGAAGGAGACGTACAAGGAGAACGAAGAGAAGGCGAGGAGGGGAGAGAAAGAGGGAGGAAGGGAGAGGAAGGGAGAGGAAGGGAGAGGAAGGGGGAGGAAGGGAGAGGAAGGGAGAGGACGCTGACTGATTCTGGGCAGCACAAGCACACAGCCTTGGAGGTAGAGATGAAGGTCCGTGAGCTCGAAGACGCGCTGGATACAGCGAGGACTTCAGGTCTGCATTGAAAAACGTAGAGAGGAGACGAGAAGACTGGGAGAAAGCAGGAGGGCGAGGGGGAGCGAGAGAAGGAGGGGAAGCTAGAGAGAAAAGGGAGAGGGTGAAGAATGAGTGACGGGGGGTGGGGGTGGGGCTGAGGGTGTTGGCAGACTCGAGACGGTCAGAGGCGATGAATCGGTTGCAACAGCAGCTGCAAGAGGAGGAGGAGAAGATTCAAAGTCTCAATGTCGAGCAACAACGTCTTCAGGTCTCCTCTATCCTCCTCCTTCTAGATTTGACGCAGCAGCAGCCGAGTTACCTCAACCTCGTTGATAAGCTTACAGCAGCTGAAGGGCTCGCGAAACTCCAGCAGCACGAGGTCTCACAGTTTTGTCATGTCATGTCATGTCGTGTCATGTCATGTCATGTCTCGTGCTCTTGCTGTTTGTTGTCTCTTGTTTTCATTTCTCTTCTTCTCTCAGCTCGATGGTCTTCGCATGGAGGTCGCGCTGCTGCAAGTCAACGCGATGAACGAGAGGCAGGAGCTCGAAGAGGTGCAAGACCCATGAACCCTCCTCCTCCTCCTCCTCCTCCTCCTCCTCCTCCTCCTCCTGCTGCTGCTGCTCCTGCTGGTTGGCGCTGGGCGTAGTTTTCCTCCTCCTGATCCTCCCGGTCCTCCTCCTGATCCTCCTGATCCTCCCGGTCCTCCTCCTGATCCTCCCGGTCCTCCTCCTGATCCTCCTGATCCTCCCGGTCCTCCTCCTGATCCTCCCGGTCCTCCTCCTGGTCTTGCTGCTGCTGCTGGTGGTGGTGGTACTGATCGTCCTCTCCCTCACTCCCCACTCCTCGTCCTTGTGTGGTAACATCAAAGTTCCAGGCCGTGCGAACGAGGAGCCAGACGATGGAGGA